ACACACACACACACACACACACACACACACACACACACACACACACACCGTTTTGAAAAAAAAGAGTCTTGTTAAATACAGAGGCCTCTTAAACTTTTCCCACTTCTGACCTCTTTTTGTCTGAAAACTTTTTATGCGTACTTAACATATAGGTACTTACATATAAAACAGGTATCTAGATAAAAAAACTGACTTTAATAAATCATAACAAATTTATTTTAAAATAATTATTTTTATTATACATGGCTTTTAACATTTAGAAGAGACAAAAACAAATGAACATGCCAATGCTCAGGGCATGTTTATTTTTGTGACAATATTGGGAATTAAAACATGGCTGAATGTTTAGCACTGCTGAATGTAGAGCATCTTGAACATTTTTATCAGAGTTGAGCAACACTCCAGTATTGTAATTATCAGTGCTATGAATGCTGTTTTATTTAAATACGAAGTACAAAATGTTTAGGGCCAATATAGAAATTGGTGGAAATTCTGTCCTGCCACCAACCCAAGTTTCATTGATTAAAAAAAAAAAAAAAAATGAAACTCAAGAGAGCAACTCAAATAGCATTTAAAAACCAAGCATTCCAACACAATACAATTCAAAGACACACTAATTTGATGATTAACATGAAAGCAGGAAACAATTGTCTTTGTTTTCCATAATTAGGCAATTATGTTTCTGTAAGCTCAGTGTGCGCAGCAGAACACTGTATTTTATAACACACAGTCGTCTGGAACCCGAGTTGATCTGTTTCAGGCAGTTTAAGTTGGCACTGTGTGGCATGATGGCTCGCGCAGTGCCAAGCTTACGTATTTTGTGATAGAGCCAAGGCTTCGATAGAGTCACGTGACACAACACAGGTGAGCAGGGCTAGAGACACTTCAGACACTTGGGAGTTTGGGTTTGAATTAATTTTTTGGTTCTTGTGTGTTCAAAGAGTTATTACTGTTAGGGTTCAAGAATTGCTGAGGTAATGCATACTCAGGTAGTATGCAAGAACAAAGAGCGTTTATTCCGCTGAAGTTACCAGCATGCTGGGATCATCATTAGGGCAAAATGGAGACCCAGAAGTGAGTTCATAGGCTCAACTAATAGACAGTTAGGGGCTTGGTGTGATAACTCTTAAACTAATTATGTCAGAAATGACATAAGTGTACGAGTGGATTCAGGATTGGCTGATTGCTTAGGGATTTCCCATAGTTACTGGGGGCTTTGCTGACTCATTGATGTTTGGCTTTCACTCATGCGTTGACCTTTAATTTGATTGGTTAGGGCTGGCTGTGCCTGTTTTGGGAACAGCAAGGCCTTGTAGTCATAAACATAGCTTTTGGTCAACTTGACCTGTAAGCTGATTGGTTATTTTTAGGTTGGTGGCTTTTCCAAGAATTCTTAGTTTGAACCCTGAGAAGCAGATGCTCAGGCCTAGTCAGACAAAGTGGAAAAAGGAAGCCTGTTATGGCATCAGATTAGCCAAACAGACACTAAATCTGCCCCAGTTTATTCAAATATCAACCAGACCCAATCAGAATAGATCAGGGCTGTCTGGAATCGTGTGCCAGGAGACTCCAGAACCCTCAGCTATTGGACCTCAATTGGGATTAGCTAGTTTCCATGGAGGCTACATGACTCTGATTAGGATTGGCTAGCCCCTTGGGATTAAGTCCTCTCATTAACAAAATTTTCATGATGTTCATCACCTGTGGCTTCATATAGGGCTCACTGACCCGCAGGTCAAGATGCTGGGCGTGGGTGGGAATAACTGGCTGATGCATGCCAGCCGTGGTTGTGTGTTCATTTGTGGGTGGAAGGTGTGAGTAGGGGCGTGCACGCGTTTAGAGTGATGTCCTGATGGGACACCTGCCTTTCACATCTTTGCTTCCTTTGCTGTCTTTCATCTCTTCTTACTAAACGTAACTCCCTGAGGACAGAGCCATATCTGTTGTCGTTAAAATAAGTCCTCACCCCTAGTGACATTACCGATGTCACCCAATAATGGCTGAGTCATGAAAACAGCAGCAAAGACAACAAGAAGGAATGGTAGTGTTTTTGGATTTTTTTATAGTTTTGAAATATGAAGCACCCCATCTTCAACTCTTCTCCTCTGCCGTTACTCACGTCTCTCTCCTCCGTAGCTCTACTCCACTGAGCTAATCTTGGACTTACTGTTCTTTAACCCATCCTCACAAATTCTACCTGATTTGTGGAAATGAGTTTAGGTTTTGAAATTAAACAGAACTGCATTTGAGCCCTTTATCCAAAATTTCCCGGTTTTATGACTTTGGACAAGGGATGTAACCTCTTGGTGCCTGCTTCTTTGTGATGGTGAGTAGTTGTGCCCATCTGCCTGGCATAGATGTTTTGAGATCTGGTTGGACTGAGAGTGTGAAGCTATGTGTAGGGGCTCTACACGTAGCAGGTTATTTTTTTACTTCTTATTTCAGCTCTCTTACTATTTGTCTTTATTGTTATTTTTTTCACCTCATATCAGAGAACATGCATCTGTACCCTGGCTTGGCTGTTAGCAGCCCGCTTGCAGTTGATGGGGAGTGGGATGGCAAGCCACTACAATTGCACTTCACTGGAAACATTTTATCATGCTTTTGTGGATGTTGGTATGAAAACATTAATAAGAATAACCACACTTGCCTAACTGAAATAACTCAAAGATAAATGTGAATTTTCAGCAAAACTCTCCAAATTATACAGCAAAGAATCTCAGAGTAAAGTGGCATGTGAAAAATCTAAGGGCATAGCATATATTCAAAATTATGATCTTTTTTATTGTCTGCTTCTCCATTTATGATAATAGATTCCAAAAGAGTGCTCTCACAACAGGGCCATTATCCCTAGTAGATTTAAAGACTATTTTACTAGTATTTTTCTGAAATAATTGAGTTTGCTGGAATAAACTATTCAGCTCAATATTTTTCATCTCCCTCTAATACAAACGTATTTGATTCCTATAAATCTGAGTGAGGTCAGGGAGGAAATCACACATATTTGTTTTCCACAGGGTATATGAGCTATTAAGGCATGCCGCATTTATTATAGATCATATTTGCTATTTGGCAAGATAATTTGAATGATTGAGAGCACCATTTGAGAACATGTAACACCAGGAAACAACCAGAAGGGAAAACTGAAAGCAAAGTGCTCCTTATAATAAATACTTAAAATAAAATGCTGCTTGGTGACTCAGATATACACTTACACGTAAAAGAGACCAACAGTATGTCTTTCTAAATCATGCATACTGATTATTCTTATGCCTCAGAGATGCATTTATTTTTTTCATGTAAGGATAAGTAGTATTTCTTAGTGCTTTTATTTGGGCCACATATAATTTGTGTATTTTTTTTTTTTATGTTTTTCTTATAGCCTCAAGAATGTGGATATTTTCTATCCTTTGTGCTGTTTTAATTATTTTGGCTATGGCTGATGTGGATGCAGTAGCAAAGACCACACCATACACCAGATTTACGAAGAAATCTGAGGCAAAAGAGATGATGAAGGGCCTAAAGCCATCCAATGGCTTCCCTCTGGATGAAGAAAAAGCTCTCCTTACAGAAATGGCTGCCATGGTGGAGCCCACCACCGGCTCCCCTCCCTCGTCTATGGCTGAGCCTACCACTGGTCCCTCTACCTCGGCCACTGCCAATCTCTTTTCTTTTGAAAGCTTCTCTGTGGACACAGCTGATTTCTTCTTGAATTGCTGCCATTGTTGTTCATTTGTCCCTGGGCAGAAAGGAGAACCTGGAAAGATGGGAAAACAAGGTACTTGAAAATGCCCCACTGAACACCCCCAGCGAGGAAGGGTTGGGGTGTAGAGAAAGCAGCAGTGATGGGCTAGTTGTAAGACTATGACAAATGCAAACTGAAGCATGGTTATCTATAGATACTTAAATAAGGATGAAAATGCAGTCCAACAAACCACAGCTGTATTTCTTTAAAAAAAGATTTGTTTTCTTTTACTGTACAAGAATGGGTATTTTGCCTGTATGTATGTCTGTGGGTCACATGAGTGCCTGGTGCCCAAAAAAGTCAGAAGGTGTCATGTTCTCTGGCCCTAGAGTTATTGATGACTGTGAGCCAGCAGCCTTGTGGGTGTTGGGGATAACCCCTGAGGAACTTCTTCAGCTCCAATAACAGCCCTATTTCAAGAGTTTGTCTCATTAACTGCACCTGGCCAGTGCCTACTGGCTTGGGTAAAACCTACTGTTGCCTTAATGCTGGTTTGAACTGAGCCAGGGACTCCCAACTGTAGCCCTGGGGCTGAGGTTTTCTAGGCAGCTCAGGCTCTGACCATTGGGATTTTTAATGGCTGAAAATAAAAAACAGTAAATGAAAATTGTATTGCGTGGCAAAAAGTGTGGCAACTGGTGGACAGCTTGAGTGTTGTCTGTAGTTTGGAAGGGCTGTGAGTGGAGAGTGAAGGGCAGAATTCAGTTTGGTCCTCATGGAAATGTAGAAGTAACACTGTCATTGCCCAGCAATTTTCTCCACTGAACACCGTGGTTTCTATTTTAAATCTCAGATGCTGTTAATTTACACATAATGAATATGCACTGTTGTACTGTGATGCATTCTGGCTTTTACATGCTATGTAGTATAGACAACTTAAGATAAAATTAAGATCAGAATGTTCATTTTAAAGATATTCCTTGAAAAAAACTTAACGTAATGTTTGTTGCATCTATCCTGAAGAATAGAAACCTGTGAAATCAGTAATTATGCATTCCATGGAGCTTTTGACTGATTCATCTTGTAGTAAGGGGTTTTTGAAAGATGGGCTGTTTATGCTGAGCTGGATTAAGGGGTAAAGAAAATGAGACTTGACCCCAAGGTTTGAAAATGTAATGAGGATGAGAAAGTCATATTTATGAGAACTCTTCATGGCTTGTTTGGCTGGCAAACTGCTTAAGGAGGGAAGGCCCAAAGTCCGGCCGGGCCAGGGAGACACAGCAGGTCACAACACTGCCTCCTAAGAAGATTGTGAGACTCCCTGTGCTCCACTCGATGTTTGGTTGTGGGTCTCTTGTGGAAGAGCGGGGGAGGGCTCTTCCCCTCCTACAAGGACGTGGAGGGAACAGGAACAGGAAGACTAACAGAGCCAACCAACCAGGGTCAAGTGGGGAGGGGGCTTGTTGAGCCTGAAGCACCAATCAAGGACCACGCATGGACTAGACTTAGCCCCCTACACAGATGTAACCAATGGACAGCTTGGTCTTCATATAGGTTCCATAGTAAGGGGAATAGTGGCCAACTCTGATATGAATTCTGTTGCCTGCTCTTCGATAATGTTCCCCTGGTGGGGCTACCTCACCAGGTCACAGGGGAAGAGGATGTGCTCAGTGCTGATGTGACTTGATATGCTGGGGTAGGTAAGTGGGGCTCCATTCTCAGAGGAGTAGGGGATGGGGGATAGGGGAAACAGGGAGGAAGGGTGGGCCCAGGAGGAGAGGAGGAAAGGGGCTACGACTGGGATGTGAAATGAATAAATAAAAATTAAAATAAAAATATTTATAAAGACTATCAGATTCATAGCATGAGGGCTTTTGTTTCACCTGATGACGGATTTGACTAGACTGTTCTTGGACTTCAGCCTCTCTTCTAATTTTTGTGACATATATTTTGTAGATGTGCCAAGTTTCTTGCCTGTCTGAATAGCTCATATGTCATAGTCTAACTGGTTATGTTCCCTGGCTCAGAATGTTATGCCTTTATTTATGCTGAGGATTGAACACCGACGGGGCTTTGTGCTTGCTAGCTTTACCACTTTTTATTTTTAGCTGTCTGCTGGAGTTCTTAGTTGTCCTGCTAATCACTCTGTAGCCCAGGCAGATCATGAATTTGACTAACTCCTATTTCAGCCTTTCAAGTGCTTGCAATTACAGACCCAAATTATCAGGCTGGGCTCAAGCTCAGAAGTTTGAATCTACCACAACTCTTTCCTAAAAAGGTTTCATTACTTTCTTAAGTCTCAGTTTAAGCAATGGGAAATGGGGTTAAATGATAACTCAATCAATATGAATGGTGTGATGCCTGAAATGGAATGAATAGTCCAGAAATTATTATCACTCAATCGATATGGAAGGAGGGTGGTTCCATTTTGTGAATTCTCTGGTCCTGACACGAGAGCATCCTAATTTCTGAGGTTCAAACAGGAATACAATTTAGATGTGTATCCCATGTAGATGGGAACTCAGCCAATCTTCCTTTGGAACCTGTGTGCAGTTGCAGGGTGCTCCTGTGCCAGCTCAGGGGTGTGCTTTGCTGTTGCTCTCAACTCTAGAACCTCAACTCTAGTTGCAGGAGACACTGCACAGCAAACTGTGATTGGCTTTCTTGTGTACTCTCTCTTCCTCTGCTTAGCCTGTCTCTATTTCTCTTCTTGCAATTCTTCAAATGGAGGAGACTGCCTTCAACCCTAACCTCTACTGCAAGTGATTTACTAAAGGTTTTCTTTTTAAGATGTATAGTTTTCTTTCCAAGAGGAATTATACAGAATATGATTTTTCATTTAGTTTTTTTTGTATTTTAAATTTTTCTTTTTCACTCTAACCCATTAGCCTTAATTACAACTGAAAGAAAGATTTGTAATATCATTGAGTATAGTTATCTATATGGTATACTTTTGAAGAGATTAGCCCTGAATTATTCCAAGTAGAAAGCAATTTTTACTCTGCAAATAGGACTGAACTTGCAGGAAGAATTCACAATTAGGTGAGTTCTAGGTAAAGTGGTGTGCTGGATGAATATGCCTGTCTGTGGTGGTTTGATGGAGAAAGGCCTTCATGGGTGCCCGTGTTTGCGCTTAGTTCCCAGTTGGTGTATGCTATAGGAAGCGTTGGGAAGTGTAGCTGCGTCGGAGGAGGCATGTGACTGGGGGTGGGCTCTGAGGTTTAAGAAGCCCAAACCAGATCCAGTCTGTCTCTTTCTCTCTGCCTGCTGCCTGCAGATCAGAATGTAAGGCTCTCAGCTATTGCTTCGGTGCCATGCCTGTTGCCTTCCCATGAAGATAGTCATGTAGCTTAATACCCTCTGTGACGTGAGTCCCAGGTTAAATACTTTCTTTCATGAGGGTTGTCTTGGTCATGGTGTCTCTTCACAGTGACTGAGCAGCAACTGATATGCTGTCCAGTGATGCCAGCTCCCATTCTTGGTCACTACCTCTATGCACAGTGCAATTTTTTTCTCAGTTGTTTAAAAACAACACTCCAGGAAAAAAAAAAGATACTCCAGGAAATTCTGATTCCTTCATTGAGTCTTTGCTTTATGCTATTTTCTCAGAGAATTCTCTTCTGGTCCCATTTTGTTTTTAATCATAACATTTAACGGAACCTTCCTATTTTACTTTATATCAACTATAGTGGGACAATTTCTGTTTCTCTTTGTGCTTATCTGTTTAATGTTTACCTTGCACAGATTCTTATTCCTGTCAGGGGTGGGGTAAGGGCTCTTAGCCCATTGATGGCATTTCTAGCATCTAATAAGACACTTTGGTGTACAGGAAACCACATACATAGTTCCTAATCTATGAGTAAGTGGATGAATGGGTTTCTCAAAGTATTTGGTATTATGTTTTTACTTCCAATTTAAAAGCATGGTCTGTATGAGGTTAAGTGTCAGATAATCATTTTGTTTTTGCCATTTGATGTAGTGCTGCTTCCCTGAATCATTTGATCACTGCCATGAATATAGTGACAAGGACTAATGGGCTCAATTTATCTCTTCAGGTAGTACAAAATTGCAAATCAGACAAAGTATTGCCCTTACAATTCTGTAATGGCTTATTCTCACCGGATTTTATCATTAGAATGTTGACAGTTTCTGGTTTCAATAAAATAACTGTTTTTTTCCCTTGAGTTAATGAATTTCAAAACATAGTTTTTCTAGTATGATGATTCTTAAACTTCATTCCTAGGTTCTAAAGGAGATCCTGGTGACATTGGCAACCCAGGGCTCCCAGGAACCACTGGACCCCAAGGCCCCAAAGGCCAGAAAGGAGAGAAAGGTAGGTAACCTTTTCATTTTTGATCAAACTCAGCGAGACTCTGCATCATTTTAAAGAAGAACAAATGCTCGATTATTGAAAGTGGGCTTTTGAAGTACAAGCACTCGATAAAGCATCTCATGTATAAATCTGGCATAAAATGTTACCTTTACATTTTGGGTCACTGAAAAACTTGAAAGTATATGATAATGTTGTACATACATGACATTTATATGCACACAGACAAGCGGGGGCGGGTAAGTAGAGGAAGAGACTATTGTTTTAGTTATTCTGGTTTTAAAATTTATTCAGACAATATGTTTTTACTTATATTTTTTCCTCCTCCAACTCCTCCTAGACACCACTACCTCCCTATCTGTCCAACCTCGTGTTCTCTCTTTCTCTCAATATGATTCCCCAAACCAAAACAAAGAACAAAAGTCAAAAGCAACCGAAAGTCAAAACCAGCCAGCCAGCCAGCCAACCAACAAACAAACTATTAGAAAAAAATGCCCAGAGAGAAACTCTTAAACAAATAGCTTACCAGCCACCAATATGACCCAAAGACTAGAAGTCACAAAACACAGCCTCTGGGGAAGGGCCCTTTCTTTCGGGTGAGATCTCTCATGCCTTCTTTTTTTCTCCCTCTAGTACTGATGAGTGAGACTATGTACGGTAGGCCTCTTTAACTGAGATATACACAATGAGTTAAGTGTTTTTTTTTTTTTTATTGATGATACAATTCATTTAACACTAAATAGCACTAGACTAAGCAATCCAGTGAAATATTCAGCTTAGGTAGAAAGCTGCCTGTTAAGGAGAGTTTAATATTGTCCTTGGCTCACTCTGATATCAGAGGCAGTATCAATGATGGGCAGATGAATAAACCAAATTTTACCTCAAAAAAGAAATAATTAAAATGTAGCAATGGTTTTATATAGTCTGACAGAAATGGACTTTCATTTACTTATAAGTTGTTTATCAAAGAAGATGTGTAGGTATGAGCTCTTTCATTGATCTCTTCCTGCCCAAGAATTCTGAAAGTCTATGAATGCATCAGCATAGAAGGCTTTCCACCTCAGAAATGTCTGGCTTTTCAGGTACGTTAAACTAGTATAAAGTTACAGAATAAGTGAGATATTTGGGAATTTCTCGATGAATACTGGTACCCTGTAGAAATACCACCTATCCATCAGGCTTAGTGTGTAAGTGTCACATGTCAGAAAGCTTAACATCATCTATACATTCCTCTCCACACGGCTCAGGGACTGCCTAACTCGTTCCTGCTAGAACAGTCAGTGAAGTAATTACTCAAAAAATATGCTAAGGTAAGAGAAGGCTACTTCACACTTGTCAGTTAGGAGATTTTCATTCTTGGAAGCATTTAATCCTTTGGTGGCTGAATTATATTAGCGGGGAACCTGTGAAATAAGAATGAGTGATGAACCTCCCTGACTATTCACACGTTTTGGAAGCTACTCTTCTGGAAGTAGAAGAAGGTCCAGGGAGCCACCGTAAGATACAGATCTTAAGAAGATACTTTGATGAATGATCAAAGCAGAATTTCGTTCAGGCAGTCTCTGCAAAGTGGCAACTCCGGTTTTCTTTTACTTCCAGACTTAGTGTGGACTCCTAGTTAAGACTGAAAGTTAAAAAAAAAAAAATCAGAAACCAGCTTGAATGGCTTCATGCTAGCCAGTCACCATCTGACGGAATAATTCCAATGCAGGTAATTTATCTCCTTAAATAGATTTAAGAATGCCAGTAATGCTGAGCATGGTGGTACGTACCTTTAATCCCAATACTTGGGAGGCAGAGGCGAGTAGATCTCTCTGAGTTCAAAGCCAGCTGGGTCTACATAGTGAATTCCAGGGCAGCCAGGGCTATACAGTGAAACTGGGTCAAAGCAGCAGCAGCAGCAGCAGCAATCACAACACCAATAATGCCAGATGAAGGTGGCTGGTGTTCATTCCTGAAAAGGAGGGGAAGAGGCTAGGTCTGTCGCTTCGATTAAACATAAGACTCTGTCAGAATAAATCCAGATATTTTCTTGGTATCCTATGGGTTAAATTTCCACATTTGGTTTGATGTGGTGTAATACTAGAGAAGCCAGCTCCTTAGGAAACTAGAATGGGCTGTTATATGGCAAATATCTGAATGCCTAAGTGTTGTATTATAAAAAATGTTTTTCATAGCTTTGTAAGAGTATAGAGAAGTTATTCGAAATATCATGAAAGTGGCGTGTTTTGACCATGTCTGTTAAGGATAGTTTTCACTCCTGGATTGGTTTTCTGAGCAGTTTTAGCTGATGGAAGAGTATTGTGCAATCTCTCTCTGTTTAAACTTCTATGGTGGGCGACAGACAAAGAAGATGTTTTGACTGTCATTCAGAATTTGCAACAGGCAAAACACCAGCACACGCACACACAATATTTGCAGGGTATTAGGAATGTCACAAGGAGTTTGAAGAATCGTGTGATGGCCATGAAAAAGAGCAGTTCTGCTTGAAGGGATCGGAGCTTAATCCCCCTTACGTGGCTTACCATTAACTAGAGTTCAGTACTCCTAACGTCCTTCAACACATTCTTTTCCCATACTGTTTTATGTTCAGGCAGTTTTTATGAAGAAACCTTGGAATGTGGCGCAACACATCTGATCCACATGTTAGCACGACCCCAAAGGACACAGTCCTGTCGAAACTAATTCCTGTTCTATTTTAGGACTAAAGGGAGAACGCGGGGACCAAGGAGTGGCTGGCATTCCCGGATACCCAGGAAAGCCAGGAGAACAAGGTAAAGGTCAATTGGCTGAGGAACGACCCCAGTACAGGAAGCCTTCTCTCTTCCTGTCTGTAAAAGCAGAGGGCCACGGCAGAGCACACCTGTAATCCTAGCACTCTGGGAGGCAGAGGCAGGAGGATCTCTGTGAATTTGAGGCCAGCCTGCTCTGCAAAGTGAGTCTAGGACAGCCAAGGAAACACAGAGAAGCCATGTCTCAGACAAACAAACAAAGCAGGAATTTACAAGGCTTATACTCAGATTCTCATTGTTTTAATAACTCAGTGTGCTCACTGGATGAGGTGAGTCTAGGAGTTGAAAAATTGGGCAAATATGTCTGTGTTCTCCTTTTCTTGGGCTATCATCAGAAAAAGGAATTTCTGCACTTCTGTTTCTGTGCCTGTGAGACTTTGGGTGTCTAAGGGTAAAACAGAGATTGAAGTGGTTACTTGGGTTGCTCCAAATGCAAAAGCTAGGCAGAAAACAATTCCGTGGTCTCTTAAAAGATGAGACATTATTGTTTCTTGGAAGCCTTCGTTATTCCCCTTGTGGGAACATGACGTGGTAATTATGGCTCACTGCATTTAATGACTCCTAGAAACAGGCTTTACTAGGCAAGAACCAGGTTTATAGGTCCCATTAATTGCTATTATTTTAGTATTTTAGCTCTATGGTAATAGCATTCTGTCATAGCTTATTTGATTCTTAAGCATTATTTTATTTTTTCCATTTCAGGGGGACTCGGTCCCAAGGGAGATAAAGGAAACATTGGCCTGTCAGGAACGAAAGGACAAAAAGGCTCCAAGGGGGACCTGTGTGGGAATGGCACCAAAGGAGAGAAAGGGGACCCTGGGGCTTCTGGTGCGCATGGCTTCCTTGGAGAGCCTGGGGCCAAGGGCGAGAAGGGGGCTGTCGGGGAGAAAGGCTACCGTGGAGATTCTGGGGAAAAGGGAGAAAAGGGTCAGAAAGGCGAGGCCGGGGTAGGAGAGAAAGGTAGCAGAGGAGATGTCGGGGCTGAAGGCAAAATGGGCTCAGATGGTCCACCGGGACCCCCGGGCAATCCCGGCCTGAAAGGAGAAAAAGGAGAGATTGGCCCAGCTGGTTTCATCGGACCTGCTGGGCCAAAGGGTGAGCTTGGGAGCAAAGGCATTCGAGGGCCTACGGGGAAAAAAGGCTCCCGGGGTGTCAAGGGTTCCAAAGGCGAAGCCACTCAAGTCCCACAGTCGGCTTTCAGTGCCCTTTTGTCCAAGCCTTTCCCTCCGCCCAATATTCCCATCAAATTTGACAAGATTCTCTCCAATGACCAAGGGGATTACAGCCCTATCACTGGGAAATTTAACTGCAGCGTTCCCGGGACCTATATTTTTTCTTATCATGTCACTGTGCGGGGGCGGCCTGCTCGCATCAGCCTCGTGGCACGTAACCGGAAGCAGTTCAAATCCAGAGAGACGCTCTATGGTCAGCACGTAGACCAGGCCTCCCTCCTCCTCATTCTGAAACTGAGTGCAGGGGACCAAGTGTGGCTGGAAGTGTCAAAGGACTGGAACGGACTGTATGTTGGCCCCGAGGATGACAGCATTTTTAGCGGGTTCCTTCTGTACCCAGAAGGAACTCTTAGAAAGTTACCGTAAATTTGGGTTTTGGACACTGCACTTCGATTTACTCAATTAACCTTGAGCAGGGCTCTTAAAATCTTTGATTTTTCGTCATTGTAAATGCAATACAGAAGCATTAAAAAAGTACAGCATGGAGTCAGCTACTCCTATTTCAAATAAATCTTTGAAAGAGCTCCACGTACTTGAGAACATGTCTGTTAGGTTTGTAGCTATCATTTTTTCATTTAGCATTAAAGTGACGTTACTGGTGCCATTAAAGGAACTGATCATGGCATCATTCAAAACTGTGAGTGAGACTTGTAATTAATAAGTACCTATGTGATGGTTTGAATAAGAATGGCCCCCACAGGTTCACATATATTTGAATGTTTGGTCACAGGGAGCCGAACTGTTTGGAAGAATTAGGAGGTATGGCCTTGTTGGAGCAGTGGTGATTTTGTTAGAGTAAGTGTGTCACTAGGGGTGGGCTTTGAGGTTTTAAAAGCTCCTGCCAGGCTCGCCCTCGCCCTCGCCCTCGCCCTTGCCCTCGCCCTCGCTCTCGCTCTGCTGCCTGTAGATGAGGATGTAAAGATCTCAAGGTGCTGCTCCAGCATCATTCCTGCCTGCTTTCTACTGTGATAGTCATGTCCACTGTGTTTCCTTCTGGAACCCCAAGCCCCAGATTAAACACTCTTATAAGAATTGTCTTGCTCATAGTGTCTCTTCACAGCAATAGAACAGTGACTAAGACAATACCCTTCTAAATACCTTATCCAGTGTAATGAAGTGACACTCCCTTCTGTGTGAACGTGAGGCCAACAGCTGACAGACCACGATGACAGCTCTTTCGCAAAGTCCCTGATTCTCTTGGAAGGGTGCCTTTCAATACAACACAGGCATTCTCCTTTCAGTTTAATTCAGAAAAAAACACAAGCAGTGTGCGAAAGAGTTGGCAAATATCTTTAAAATTTATCCATGTGTAAAGATTTGCACATAAACCTGCATTATGTAGGCTAAAGTTAACTGTAAAAAAGAAAGTTGATAAAGATGTCACTCAATTAACTATTCATCAAATTATTGTGCGTCCTTAGGAGACTCAAGACCAAAATTAAATTAGTATTGATCAAAATTTCAGCTCTTTCTTCATGATAGAACATTTGATTCTGATACATTCTTTGGCATCATTATCATTATCTCTATAATATTAATTCTACTTATTCAGTGATAACACTTTGGGAGCAGGTGGGAGTAAAATTAATTTGCAAAGTGAATGTTTAATTGCTGTGAATATTGGATAATTCAGCAGTTTTGCTCTTTTATAAAAGTGAAACTTATTGAATCCAAATGGAATTTGGTTTTGCAGTGGTATAGTTATACAGATTTGCAAATCTTTGAGTGCCAAGTCAGGAAATGGGTGCCGGGGAATTTTCTGGTTATGTTCTGCCAACTTGTGCAGGCATTTGCTTTTGAAACTCTCATCAATATGTATGTTAACACAGTGTTTCCCAAGCCATTCAGAGGACAGCCATTTCTAGATGTTATTGTGAAGCACTCGAAAAAAGTAGCTCCCATGTTAAACAAATCTCATATATATATGGCATAGCATATCATCATACATACATATATATGTATCAAATGAAGATTCGTAAAGCCCATTAATGTAGTCTCTGACATTTGCATAGAAAATAAATCAGCTTAATTTTGTTTTACTCAATGAACCTGAGTTTATTGCTGGTCTTGAATTCATTCCATGATCAATGTTCTTTAGGATGTTAATTTTGGAAATGTTTCATTAGTTTCTTATCCAATGATTTTTCTTCTGTGTAGACCAGAATGTGACTTTAGTATTTTAGTATTTTTTTTAGAGGAAGAATTATATAGCTTGCAAGTGATTTAAATAAGCCACACCTCATTTGAAATCTTTCTTTCCTAAATCAGGTATTAAATAATGAAATGATTCAGGACCTTATAGTTTTATGTCCTGCATTTTGATTCTTATTTTTTTCTTTTCTGAAATTTACGTTATTTTATTTTGTGTGTGTGAGTTATTTACCTGCACACGTTTGTGTACCATGTGTGTGTCTGGAACATGAGGAAGCCAGAAGAAGCTGTTAGATCCCGGGGAACAGGAGTTACAGATGGTTGTGGGCTCTTGGTGCTCGGGATCAGACTTTGTCCACTGGAAAGCACAGGGTGCTCTTAACCACAGCCATTTCTGTAGCCCCTTTTCCATTTCTTTATATAATTTCCAACACTGAGCTTCAGAAAGCTGTGAACCAACTAGCACAGGAAGATAGAATAATTAAAACATACAACACACACACACACACACACACACACACACACACACACACATCCAGGTATTAGATATGAAGACAGCCAGGCAGAGGGCCAGCAAAGAAACAATTCACAAGTAAGTTTTATGGTACCCGACAGTGTCTTACATCTGTTTGTGATGTGCACTCTATAGGAGTCTGAAACAGTCAGGGTTACTATCTAAGGTTGCTAGTAGCTATGAACATTTTACAAGGTATCAAACCAAAAGCAGTTGCTGGCCAATGGAAATTTGTTTTGGAAGGTAAGTTTCAGACTCTTTGTGATACTGCATACTATGAGGGTAAAAAATATCAGATGAATTCTCCATTCAGTACATCATGTGTGTGCTTATTAAGCAAACTCAAACATGGATCTCTTCTATCCTAAAGATTTATGTTCAATATCTGCCCTACTCCTACCCTAATGGCTACCAATAGCTACACGTGAATGTCAGTTCTGAGCACCAAACTACTTAGATAGCCTCATGCCTTAGGCTTAGCACAGCCAGTCAAGTTTCTGGGATTCTCATACCTGCCAGCTCATGTAACGGCAACTGCTACCATTTGTCTGGAAGAGAAACTCGTAACACTTGAGGTTTTCATTCTTACTTAGGTACAGTTGCTGCTTCTGGGGCTATCCAGAGGTTGATGACTTCCTTTCTCACGTCTTCACTGGCACAGCTCCTGCCACGTTATCTTATAAAATAGTATATCAAAAGACCTTCGAACTGGTTTCTCCTCACATCGAAGGAAAATGGGTCTGACAGACTACATGCTTAAATATTTAAAACATAAAAGAAGGTAACAAACAGTTCTTTAAAGTATAGTCTGTATCTTACTTTGGACTATGTGCCATTCTTTTTTTTTTTTGAAAAATATTTTGAAAGCTATAGTTTTATTAATATGATTTGTAGTAAGCAAGATAGATAAAGTGTGTGAATTAATATTTACACTGGCATGCTAGGATTGAGTGAAGAATAAGATAAAGTTGTTAATGAATTATACATTTCCTCATAGATGTCATTTTTCAAAGCCTAATTTCATAAAAATCAGATATATTTTTGTAAATAATTCTTCCATTGACAGTTTTGTTATGTCAATCACTCTGTTGGGTCATTCTATTTTCTAGCAATTAAAAAATTATATCAACTTAGAAAAACTTCACTTAGTTGAATTTGTAAGAAAACTCAGACATGAGCTGAGTGTTTCTGTGTTATATTCAGATATTGCAAGCGGGGCTAGCTAAGTGCGTTACCACTGTTATGCACAAGTTTCAAAGTATTTAAATTTCATCACATAAATCCATGTTTGCTTGTACTACCAGTTCACTATCTATTAAAATTGCATTTCAGAACGTAGATCCATTATGCATTTTCTCTTTGAACTTATGAAAATACAAATTTAAGTAATATGAAGAGTTAAATAGTGGATTATATCCTTTAACTATTAAATATTCCACCCTTGCAATTTACCATGTAGTTCATAAATTTATCAAGAATGGTGACGCAGTCATATTGTAAGATGCCTGCCCTTTCCTCTCATTTAAACCTTTACTTAGATATCAACCTTTACAGTGAATCTTTTTAAAAATCATTCAATTTTCAGTTGTAAAAATCATGTCCTGACCCATCTCTTCACTCTCTACCTGGTATATGCCTCACTTATGAATTTTCTTATTTTCTTTCTTATTCCAGAAAGAACGTTCCATGAAGGAAAGGATTTCAAACTGTTTCTTCTTTTTTTACTGAAAACATTTTCCCATACAGTATATTCTAATCATGGTTTCCCCTTCCTTACCTCTTCTCAGATCCTTTCCACATCTCTACCTATCCAACTCCATAATTCTTTCTTTCTCTTTAGAAAATAAATGGGCAACTAAAAAAAGATGAGATAAACAATTTAAACAAATATATAACCCCTACTGAAATAAAAGTATTAATGAAAAGTCTCCCAACCAAAAAAATCCCAGCCCTGGATGGAGTTAATGCAGAATTTTACCAGATCTCCAAAGAAAATTAATTCCAACACTCCTCAAATTACTCTGTGAAAATAGAAACAGAAGAAATATTGCCTAATATTTTTTAGGAGGTGTCAATTTCCCTGCTACCTAAACCACAGAAAGACCCAACAATAAAAAGAAAATTACAGACCAATTTCTCTTGTGAACATAAATGCAACAAAATACTTGCAAACAGATTTGAAGAACATAGAAAAAAGATCGTCCATCTTAATCAACTAGTCTTCATCCCAGAGATGCAGGAATGGTTTAACACATGTAAATTAATAAATGTCATCAACCAGATAAACAGAATCAAAGAAAAATCCCACATATTATTTCATCAGATGCAGAAAAGACAATTGACAAACATCCAACATTTCTTCATTGTAAAAGTTCTGGAGAGACTAGGAATACAAGGGACCTATCTCAGCATAATAAAGGCAATTTACAGAAAGTTCACAGACAACTTCAACCTAAACAGGGAGAAACTCAAAGGATTTCCACTACAACCAGGAACAAGACAATTCAATATGCCTATCAAGGGGTACAAATGGGACAGGAAGAAGTCAAAGTATCTTTATTTGTAGATGCTATAATTTTATACATAAAAATCTAAGAATGTCACCTAGAATTTTCTACAATTGGTAAACACTTTTAGCAAAGTAGCAGGACACAAAATAGACACAAAAATTTAATAGCCTTCATATATACACATGACAGAT